ATAATGTAAGTGAACATTGAAAATATATTTTCTAATTTAGAAAAATAATTAAAAATTTTAAGTTTATTAGAAAATTTCAGTAATAGAGAATATTGATGATAGGTCTAAAAATAGTAAATATGTGTATAGGGAACCTTAAAGAACTTTTGAATTAAATAAATTTCATTTATATTGGTACTATAAAATACAGGGTGTGCCATTTAAATTAACGCATTAAGTAAATAAAATATTTTTCTGTAAAACTTCAAATTACAAACATTTTTGAATATTTTAATGATTCTAATAAAAAGTTACGTTTTGTAAGGAAAAATAAATTCATATATTAAAATTATATGCCATACTTTTTGTGTATTTCCCAGATTTCTGAAATCATTATTAACCTTCTTCAATTCATTAAACGTTAACATTTTATCTCCATTTAAAAATAGTATTACTAACTTAGCTATACTGTATATTATGTATAAAACTAGAACTAATCATAATTTGCATGAACTGGTTTTTTAATGGTAGGTGGTGTAAATATACTGAATATATTTTATTCACAATCATTACTTATTTCCAAACTTTTTAAAAGTCTGAAAGACTTTCATGGGAAGGAAGTGATATTCAAATGTCATTTTTTACCTGTAATATTTCTCGTATATATTACAAAAGTAATGTTATTAAATGTCAGACTACCTCTAAATGTCAAAAGTGATTTGTTTTCAAAGCCTACTTAGTGAGAGTATTTTATTTTTTTTTTTTTTTTAATTATGGTTTAAAACTAAATGATTTTGAATAAAATAGTATATAAATCTTGGCGGAAATTATCATTCCCGTCTTGCTCATTAGCTAACCTCTTAAGCGCCTTGGTGATCTATATTAGCTCTCGACAGTAACGATTCATTTCCCGCCTCGGTATGTTATCTACTATTTCTGAAATAAGTAACATTACTCTAATTTTATCTTTTTAAATTTTTTAAAAAGATAAAATTACATATTTACTTTAATAACATAACGTAATGCTTTCAAATACCTTAAAAATAGTAGCTTGGTTGTCGAATTAATAGACCGTCAGATATTGACAGATTTAGATGCCCCATTTTCGCATACAAGCCTCAAAGAAGAATGAAAAGTTTACCTATGTTGAATAGAATGAAATAAAATTTACGAGTGATTCTTGGGGATAACACATGGACAATTCATTTTTCCTTGACAGAAATATTTTCTGACCCCAAAATGCACTGTTCCATACGTGTCATTCAAGCCAATATATTTTTTGAATTAGTGACGATGTACATTTTTATACGTTCGATGGGTTTGTGTGGAAAAATCGGGTAAAATCTCGATTTTTACTTACAAGATTACGCCCTTATTTCAACCCTTTAGTCACTTGCAATATTAAAGCCTTTGGTTTTCCGAAGCCTAGTTCTATTAGTTAGTCATTTAGTTAACACGGCTTGCGTAAAAATATGAGCAACAAATTCCATTAATTTTTGTTAAGGAAAATCGAATTTTTCATATATTATCCCCAGGAGCCACTCGTAAATTTTCTTTCATTCTACTCAAAATCGATGTACTTCTTCGAGGCTTGTATGCGAAAATAGGGACCTAAACTGTGTCAGTATCTGAGAGTCTATAAGACGAAGTCACTTTAACGCCTGGAGGACGCATAATGGATCTATAATGAAACTCCAGTTTTCTAACTCTCTAATTCACTTCGAGAACGATACCAGATGGGACAAAATGAGGAATTATCGTATTAGAAGTTCAGTTTTCTCTAAATTTTTTTCTTTCTTTGGCTTACTTCCGATTTTAGTCATCCTGTTAATATATTCTCCGTCCGAAAACCTATTGTTTCCACATTCCGAAAATAACCATGCAAGTCCTGGTTATTTTACAGGATAGTTATTTTATAAGCTCCTAAAATGAATAATACTACGTGTTTAATAAGTGTCCTGTAATCTTTTGTTATTATACATTTTGAATATTAGCAACTGAAGCAACAAGTAACTGTAATAATATTTATATAAATTCTTTGTAAAACTGCAAATACATTTTTCAAATTTACTTCTACGAAATAATGAAAACTACTTTTGAATCCTCAAAGTGTAAACAAATTTAATAAAAAATTAAAAAGCTTTTTACTAACTAGGCCATCGCAACATTAGAGATCCAAAGTCCGATTTGTTTATTTGTATATTATATTCGATTCTAATTCGGTTACAGAATACTGGTTAGTATTGAAAAATCCAGAATATTCTATTACCGAGTTAGATTCGAATCTAATATTCAAATTAACAATTCGGACATCTAATGTCTTGTTGGCCCAGTTAGTAAGGCAACGTGTGTAGAAAGAGAATATGGAGGGTTCTAATCCTTCCCGGGAAAGAGTTTTTTAATTTTTTTATTAAAATTGTTTTCTCTTTGAGGGTGAAAAACAGTTTTCATTATTTAGTAAAGATAATTTTGAAAAATATATTTAGTAACTTCCAAAGAATTTATATACTTTGTTTTCAGTTTTATAATTGATAGCTTGTCGAAACTCTGCCGATTTCATTTATAAATAATCTTTACCACGGTATGTTATAAATTGCTCCCTCTTAGACCTATTGTGTTTCCTTGATTTTTCCCGTGTTCAGGTACTGTGTTTAAAGAGTTAGGTTTTGGTTAGTTTTACTAGGTTTCCTACTAAGTGTTTCAGGGTGGTTCTACCCGGTTTTATGCCGGAAAGTATGTGTCGCCACCTAGCTAGAGCTTCGACAAAATTCGCTCTACTCTGTTACAATATCAGACTCCCGGTCTATTTGGTGTAAGCCCGATTTGTCCATTAAAACCCCTCATCTGCTTCTATCGCCGTGGTATCGTATACTCAAGATTCTTCTCGTTGGCAGGCTGTCTTTATGATGTTTTCTATCCTATTTGCCCTTTATTTCTATAACGTTTTTTGCAAGTCGCCTGGCCGCTTCTCAGTTTTTTTTTTATTATTAATGCTTCTATATTAGCGTCTCTCCTCTATTTATATGCTTGTCTCTTGACGTGCATTCAGATCTTTCACATTCGAAGAAGGTGTGCTTTAGTGTGTCTCTTCACAATATATAATAGCTTTCGTTGCCTACTTTTCTGATCTTAGAAGTGAATGTTCCAAACGAACCGTGTCTTGTCATCACCTGTGCCATACATTAATCGGTACTTCTTTGGTTGCATTCTACTCAATGACTCTCGAAATCAATTCCTTTGTTCTTTCACCAACAGATTGATTGGAACTTGTTCCGAGACTATTCACTGTTGGGTTCTAATTACCTGTACTGTTCCTAAAGTGGCGCTGGGAAATAGTAACAAAGCCTACACAGAACACGAGGCGAAATAAAAAATGCGCTACTTAGAGCAATTCTGTCTTGTAGGCGCTCACTACCCTTAAGGCTATCTTTCTCTGTGCTTTTTCACTTTTTACCCTGAGAGCTCCTTTCCATAGTGGTGCTTCCTTATAGCACCTGTTCCTGTGGAACAGAGGTTTTGCTTATCCCAAACACAGGCTCAGGTCTTGCAAATGGTAGTTCTTATTTCTCTATGGCGAGCCCACCAGCCTTTTCATTTCTTTGGATACCTTTATGTTCTGTGATTCACGCTTGTTTTACCTAATTGTGGGCTGCCAGAACATAAGTATTCCAAGGTAGTTCCAACTTTGACTTGATTCTGTTTAAACCAAGAGCTTCCAAGGCTGCTTGTCTGTCTGAAAGATTTAAAATAGTTTGTTTCTGTACTTCCTTCTGAAGTTCTTGCTTATTCACAATAATTCAATTATACATATATTTCAACCTGAAATACAATTGTATGTTTTCCAATTATGCATTTTAACAACCTGTCCAAATGGCCACCTGAGGTCTTTGACAGGGTCAATGATATAGAATGATCAAATCAGATCACATTGCGCGCGGCATTATTGCCTCGCAAGTGGTTATTAATTAAAATTGGTTTAGTAAAAATGTGTTTTTAAACCAAATTTCAGCCTTTGAATATAGTAAAAAAATAATTACCTACATTTTTACTTCAAAACATGAACTTATGTTAGGTATTTTGAAAAACATGGATAATTAATCTATATAGCTATTATAAGTATCATTGACCCTGTCAAATTCACTACACCATAGGCAAGCTTTTTGTTTGGAATGCCTAATAGATTAATTTGACGTTTATACGTGACGTTTTTTAATTTCCAATCTACTTTGCGAACCATTATCTTTTTAAACCGACTTCAAAAAAGGAGGAGGTTCTCAATTCGTCGCGATATTTTTTTTTTATGTATGTTCAGCGATAATTTTTTACCACGGTGTCCGATTTCAATAATTCTTTTTTTGTTAGAAAGGGGGTACTTTAGGGGTGGTCCCATATAAATTTGGTCAAAATATAATAATTGTGTCTGTGAGAAAATCCTCAAACTCTTGATTTTTTATGTATGTTTAGCGATAATGCTTTACCACCTTGTCCGATTTATATGATTCTTTTTTTGTTAGCAAGGGGATACCTCAAAGGTGGTCCCATATAAATTTGGTTAAAATGTGGTTACGGCATCTGCACGTTTTTGAAGTCGGTTATTTTAAATTTGTTATTTCTAATACTTGTTTCGTTGCATTTCAATAACATGTAATAGGTATTAATTTCAAGGGTTTATAAAACCATCTATCCTTAATATTAATAACCAGGACACTTATAGGGAACAATATACATGGTGTTCCATTTGAAACTAAGTAATTACCCAATCCTTGAAAATATGTTGTCATTTCCGGAAGAGAGTAAAAAAGATGGAAACTCTTGAGGCAAAGACAAGACACACAATCTACTATTTTCTCTAAGGTGCTTATTGTAGATGCTTCCATTTTCACAAAAAAAATAATGTTACTTACTTCTGAAAATACCTTCTCGGATTTATAATTTATGAAATTGTTACTAGAGATTATATTTAAAATAATTTGATTTCCAATGATTGATTCTCTTTGTAATATTTTTTTTCTTTTGTTTAGGTTTAATTGTTTCTCAGAAAAATATTTCAAAGGGTGTGTCGAGAGTTTATTAATGGAGGAAGATTGGCAAAAATTAGAAAGAATGATCGAATATATCGGAAAGTGATTCCTTCAGTGCTCAGTGTCCTTCCAATCTAGTCGATGAATATACCATCAATAGGCAATTAATAAATTTAATGTATAAATTTTGACAGAATTTGTGAATTTATCTCTCTACTTTTGCTGGTTTCAATATTATTTATGCAGTTATTTATTTATAATTATTTAGATATTTTTAGTTTCACTAATATTCAGTAACCAGTTAAAGCGGAAAGAAGTCTAAAACGTATAAATTGTAAAATATTTACTAGTTTGTTAAAGTTTACAATAAAACTTTTGCACTTAAATATATACATATATAACATTGTAACATAATCCGTTTTTAACAAAATTTAAAAAACGCACTATATAAATATTTTAAATTAATTTTATTTGTTTAGTTTGTTATTGATTTCTTTTTTTTTGTTGTTAAAGAAAAATAAATTTTCAGAAATTTTATATTAAAAAAGTATTTCTGAAAGAATATATTTTTCTTTTGAAACATTCCAATATCAGTATTCTACTTTTTTATGTATTATTATTATTATTATTATCGTATTTTTTTACTACCTTTTCTTAGAAATTAGATATTTAAATAAGAATCCTCTTTATTTTTATATTTTTAAAAGCCAGTACAAATAAAGAATCCGTAGTCGGGGCATGAATCAAGACAGTTATAAAAAAATAGGTATTAACCAGTTTAAGAACATAAATGACCGTCTTAATATTAGTTTTACTGGTTAAAATTATTTTCTATTATTTTTTTTATTTAAAATATTTAATCAAACCAGAGATCATCACACATTTATAATTTACTTGTATATATTTATCTCATTGGTTCATGACAGCTTGAAATAAATAACCTACTAGTCAGTGTATTAAATTATGTTTAAAACAAAGCTTTGTAGTTTTAATTTTTATCTTCTTGGTCGTATTGGCCTTTTTACAAATCACTCCTTCCAGCTACTATAGAGTGTAGAGGAAAAGAGGACAATCTTATCTATGGTTGTTTATATCAAAAAATTTCGCTGTATTGCACAAGATTTTCGAAGTATATTGATCTTGTACAGCATACGCACAACAAACGTACAGCAAAACGCTGTATTTGTCCAGCAATGCAATACATAATTTACTAAAAGGTAACAAATAAGGCAAAAACGTAATACATGATTATCTCCATCTCTCTGTACATACCACGACTTTGATATCAAGAGCGTTCCATGTTGCCTTAATGAAATTAGGCGCGCACCATTCCTATCTGATGTTAGTGTTAAAAGTGCACGTGGCAAATAGGTACGTATTGTTGACGGTTTTGTTTAGAATAATATAATTTTTGAAAACGTGTAGTAGCTTACTGTTATACTTATTTAGATGTTTCTCTATATGGATAGAGACCTTATTTTTTGAAGAATAAATCATTTAAAGGTATTATAACTTAATTTTAATATTTTAACCTAAAAGTTGGGTGTCCAGTAACTGTATTGAAAATGTGTATTAATTTCTATTATTGGACAAGTGACCAATAACTGTAAATAGTTTAATACCTCAAATTTTATTGCATTTATTCAGGCATAATTCATGTGTCTAGTAACTAAACTTGTTGTGTTTTATAACTGTTTATTAATGGACAGAGGCGGAAGGACTAAACATTAGCCCAAACAAATCTGACATAATTGCATTCACCCGCAGGAGAAAATTGAAGGGACTAGAGCCTCTAAACCTAAGAGATGCAAGCATCCAGCTTAAGGGGAAGGTAAAATATCTGGGGGTTATGATTGACTCGAGACTTACCTGGAATCAGCATCTAGAAAAAACCACGAGGAGAGCGGGAACCTCGTTAATGCTGGCAAGGCGATCCTTTGGAAAAAAAATGGAGGTTAAAATCAGTCATGGTATATGGTGGTGAGACCGATAATAACATACGCAGCTTTGGTGTGGTGGCCAAAGACACAGCAAAGGAAAGCAATAACAAGGCTAAGCAAAGTACAAAGACTTGCCTGCCTCGGAATAACGGGGGCAATGAAAACAATCCCCACTGCTGCAATGGAAGCACTAATAGGACTCCTACCTCTTCACTATGTGACGCAAGGAAAGGCAAGATTAGGTGCTTACAGATTAGGAAATACACAGGGAAATCTTGACATTAGGCCAGGTCACATGAGTATCTCAAGATTAGTGACAGGAGACGTGCTAGACATGAGATTAGACCACATAACCAAGAGGTACTCTTTTAATACTCCATTTTAATACAGGAAAGAGCGGAGATCACTATAAGGGAGCCCAATGCCCAACGACAGGAATAAACTTGGTATACAGACGGATCTAAGACTGCGGAAGGCACTGTGACGAGAGTATTCTCCAAAAACTCTTATACTAACCATAGCTATGCTATAGGAATATATTTCTTGGTATTTCAGGCCGAGGTATATGCAAAATCGGCATGTGCAATGGGGAACTCATGTGCCGACTATGTCACAAGAAACCAGATACGGCCAAACACATACTGTGCGAAAGCGAAGCTCTAGATCGCAAAAGACAGGCTCTTTTTGGACAATCCCAGGTTAATCCAACAACGTATAAAACCCACTCACCCAAGGATCTGTACAAACTTGTACAAGGTATAAAGGTGACAGAGTGGGTGCTATGAACTAACATGGGGTAAAACACAATAAGCCAATAGGCTTCAGTGTTATTCGGAGACATAGTCAGACGAGCCCAGGAGAAAAAAAAAAATGTTCATTTATTTATAGCTAATAAAAATTCCTAAACTAAAAGAATATAACAGAAAAAGATAAAAGACGCCGTTCGGAATGTTCTGACTAAGAATCATATAGATCAGCTGAGCGCAAATACGGAATACCTAAATATACCATCGAATTTAGAATTAAATATCCAGAACATAAGAGTACTTCTGGGCCTTGTCCCATTCTTACTGAAGATGAAAAAAGGACATTGGTGAAGTAAGATTGATAATCAGGAAAAACCTATTTTATTCTATCTATATAGTTAACCGACTTCAACAAGTTATAAAAGTAATTTTAAAAGACCAACTTCAAAATCGTGCAGATGCCATCACCACATCTTTACCAAATTTACAGGTGACCACCCCTGAGGTATCCCTTTATTAACAAAAAAAGAATCATAGAAATCGGACAAGGTGGTAAAGAATTATCGCTAAATATACATAGAAAATAAAGATTTTGAGGATTTTCTAATGGACCCACTTATTTGATTTTGACCAAATGGATAAGGGACTACCCCTGCAGTACCCCTTTACTAACAAAAAAAGAATCATAGAAATCGGACAAGGTGATAAAGAATTACCGCTAAATATACATAAAAAATAGAGAGTTTGAGGATTTTCTAATGGACCCAATTATTAGATTTTGACCAAATTGATATGGGACCACCCCTGTAGTACCCCTTTGCAAAAAAAATTATGACGAATTGAGAACCTTCTTCGTTCTTGAAGTCGGTTAAGCGATAATTATTTAACACGGTGTCCGATTTCAATGATTCTTTTTTTGTTAGGAAGATGATACTTCAGGAGCGGTTCCATATAAATTGGGTCAAAATCTAATAATTGGGTCCATGAGAAAATCCTCAAACTCTTCATTTTTTATGTATGTTTAGCGATAATTCTTTACCACCTTGTCCGATTTCTATGATTCTTGTTTGTTAGTGAGGGGGTACCTCAGGAGTGGTCCCATTTAAATTTGATTAAGATGTGGTGATGGCACCTGCACGATTTTGAAGTCGATTCTTTAAAATTTTTAATACTTGTTTATCATATATTTTAATATTTTTAATTTTTATTTCCTTTTTATAGATGGATAACAGAAATAGCACGTAAGGGGTTTCAGAGAAAAGCAAACGACTTGAAAGCTAGTTTGCAAAAATTCTTAAATGATATTCTTCGCAAGAATCCCTTTAATAATAATCGACCTAAAGATGGATGGGTCAAAGTATGAATAAAAGTATGTTTAATTCGAAAATTTTTAATAAAACCTTTATTTTCAGGCTTTCTTAAGGATACATCATGAACTGTTAGAACTAGTGACACTGGTTTCCAAATGTCGAAAATTATCTTAAATTAATCCAACAACTGGAAAAGTATTTGCCCAGGGAGGCTCTAAAAACGTCTATACAATCGACAAGGGATCGTTAAAAAAAAACACTTGTGTGCCTATGGTAATTTACCCCATATGTGAGATTTCCAGAAAAAAAATACAAAATCTGTAAAGTCTATTATGCAATGAATTACAAATAGAAATATTTGCGCTCTAACCAAAAGCTACACGAATGTTACAGCCATGTGATGTGGCTGTTTTTCGGCCACTAAAACAAGCTTGGCGTCGAATTGTTAGACAATGGGATGAAGAACATCTAGAAAAAGTCCTCAACAAGGTCACTTTTGCACCTGTGCTAGAAAAAGCTCTTACATCAAGTAATTAACCAGAAACTCTAGTTAATGGATGTAGAGCTTGTGTCCATTTAACCCAAATGCAATTGACGATATTCTTTCCCTGTTTAAAATTTGGCAGTATTATAATACGCAACCTGAAAATAATAAATGAAAATGCTTCACCTGAAAGATCAGAATCACCATTGCCACCACGGTCTAATGCCACTAACATAGCCGTAATCAATAGAAAAAGAATCATCAATTTTAAATACGACTGAAGATTTTTCGACAAATAAGACTAAAGATAGTTCAACAAAACCGGCTGGGTATGTTATTTCAACAAATAAGACAAAATATTTCATCGAAGACAACTGAAGGTATTTCAATAAGAACAGCTGATTTCGACAAATTTAGCTGAATATATTTCGGCTAAAGATTTACAAACAAGGTAGGAATAATTGATTTATCTTTATTTGGGAAATACTTGACAACTCCAGACAGCCCTAAGAGAAAAGGGAAGAGAAATATAGAAATAATTCCATTCGCAATAACGTCAAAAAGATGTCAAGAAATGTTTGAAAAGAAGCTTCAATTAAAAAACAAAGAAAATGAAAAGCAAGATAGAAAACGAAAACGAGAAGAAAAATTAAATTTTAAAGAAAGCGTCAAGAAAATAAAAATGTTTTTTTTTATGTAAGAATACTATCCTATTAGGAAATAATGGAATTTAATGTGAGACTTGTATATATTTTTTTCATGAACACTGCATACCAAAAAAAACACAAGAAATTTATTGTCGATAAGGAAGATACAGATGAGATTTTTCTATGTCACATGTGCTACAAAGAAGAATCTACTGATAATGATGCTTCTACAGAGCCTTACAATAGTTTACATTCTGATTCGGAAGCGGAAGTTGATGAACCTTATAATGCTTACAAAGCTTCCGTTAAAGAAAATAAGTGAATTTCTGTTTAATTGAAATATCTAATTCTTTTTGTAACTTGATTTTTGTCAAATATTAAAATAAAAATACACCTACAGATAAATAATAAGATTTTATTATTCACTGAATATTTAGTGGTTGTCCAATCACTGTCATAATATGTATGTTCAATCTCTATCAGAATTGTCCAATAACTATATTTTTTGCTTGTTGTAATAGTTTTATTTTTTTAGAAATAATTAAAGACATCAAAATGAATTTCAAATATATCGGTCTACAGAGTATTAATTGAAATTTCAGGAATAAAAATATGGATAACCAATTTACAGATATTTTAGTAAAAAAAATCTTAGCTGTCCAATAACTGTATACTTTACTCTATTTTATTTTACCTCTACATAACACTTCATACCAGAAATAATAAACTAAATATATTTCTTCTAAAACTGTCATTAAAAGTTGACTTTTACATGATATTCTTTAAGTGTCATAACATAAGTTTTGAACTACTGCGTAAATGTCTTTTTAATTCAAAA